TTGTAAAGTGACCTCGATATTAGTTTTAATTTTATTATTGTTTAACAATGTCCAAAAAAAGCCTTAGCTCAAAAGAGTAAAGATTTACTGCACCAGATCACACCTTTTCCCCCTCAGTTAATTTCATCTACCGTGAAAGAAAAATCTGTCAAGAATCCCAAAAAATCAAAGGGGATTAAAATGATACAGGTACATAGATGTGCAACATGCCCATGGAAATAAGAACAAACAGCATCTGATCCTGATTAAATAAGGTTATAATAAGTGTTTAGTCATTTTTTAACCTAAATAGAATTCCATCTCTGGGTGCAATGAGGAGACATAAACAGACATGGCGCCATCTGCTGGAAGTACCTTAAAAATATTAAGCCTCTTTCCCGCTTTAAATACTGTGTTAATGAATTTTTCAAACATGGGTCTGAAGTGTCGACTGCTGGGCCGCTGACTGGAACAGACCTCAGCGGAGAGCCATGAGCCGCCCGTTCTCAGTCGGAGGAGGGGGGCTGGGGGCCGGTAACACACAGTTCCGGAATTTCCAGAATTTTTGCAATACAATAATTCGTGCATCATGTGCGGATTAGAATTAGTTTGATTGCGCAGACACAACAAAAGAGAGTGGGGTGTGGGGAGAAGGTTCTAGCCTGGGTGCCAGTCCGAACTTAGTCCCGCCCACAAGGTTTGAGGTCGGGAAGTTCAGTCTGGCTCTGCTCCATAGTAGCGCGAGTATGATCGCCCACCCTCTGGCGATCCAATGAAATTGTCAGGGCGGGCTTTATACGATGATGGACAGATGATCAACAGTAACGTAATCAACCACGTGACCAAAGCACGCTTGGGCGTTAACAACAATGGCTGCCGCTGGAGAGTTGAGGTGAGTAGATTCTGCTATTAGGTCTGTTCTAGAAGATATCGACAGCAAATTAATTTTAAAAGAGGAAAAGAGAAACGCGATCACGGCTCATCTTCTTATTCTAGGCGCGCAACTGCATGCTTTGATTTTTGTTAACAACAAAATTGCTTAACTGCCCCTGCAAAATTGCCCCCTATATTTTTAGGGGGTCAAAAATCTTATTTTTGGGGTTATGACCGTTGCTTAACATACGTCACGCACTCTGTTGCTCTTATTGGTTGTAGGTCTATCCAATTGAGTGCAGAGGCATTTTTTTTTTCTGGTTCGTTCAAAACACGCCCCATAATCACAGCTCTATGGAGCAGCATCAGACTCATAGTCTGACTAGAATTGAGTCGGACTACGTCAGGCTAAGAAGGTTCCACTGTTGTCGAGCAAAATCCCGTACGATTTTGAAATTCCCCCGGACATTTTTTTTAGGTATGAAAACTAGGACATGTCCGGGAAAATGAGGAAGTCTGGTCAAACTAAAATATCAACAATTTTGGTGTTCCAGTAAGTGAGCGCGTCTTTGCTCAGCAGCTTGGCTCGTTGTAAACCAACCAATCAGCGCACAGCTCATCTAAATATTCATGATCATACCATAAAAGGAAGAAAACCTGTCGTTTCATTCTAAGGCTTTTAACCAGGCTGCATTAGGGTAACCTGACTCCGCCAGATGGATTTGCTCCGCATATCCATCTGGAAACCTTCCGTAGAAGTCATTTTGGGAAGGGGCGAAAATACTGGTTAACTGATTGGCCTATGTTGGTGATAGACGGGCCAAATAAACCAATCAGATCAACGAAGCATATGACGTACTAACAGAGCGACGACGAAGAGGAGCCAATTGATAGATCAAACTCTTGCCAAAACCAGTCGGGAGAAGAGCAAAAACATCTTTTCCTCTGAGAAAAGCCTCCAGAGCAGTGTTTTGCTCTTCTTTTAGTGAAGAAATACTCTGTAATTCCGATAAAACTTGCTCGATAGCCACGCTAACGCTAGTTTCATCGACTGAAGCCGCCATGTTCTTTAGACTGAACTGTCGCGCTTCTCGTTGCGCCACACCTCAATCCGCCTCAAAGCCAACGCTGATTGGACGTTCGTTTGGTGAACGGCTCCAAATTTTCTTCAACGCAGAGTCTCCAGACTGATTAGCGAGTGAAATCTTGAAAGCTTGCGAGATCAGGATGGTCTCACGAGGCTAGCATTAGGGCTAATAGAACAGTAAATATGCCATTTTCAGCCCAAGCAATGTTACACACCATATTCAGAGACCTTAAGGACCAGCATCGAATATCCTATAGAATTATTGTATGACCTCTTTAAGGCATTTTCATCAGAATGGCTCCTAAATGGCTTCTTTAGAGGAGGCAGACAGAGGACTGCTGTCAGGTAGAGGTTTAATAAAAAACACTTCTAAGAAAAAAACAGCCTTTCTAAAAGGTGAGTCATGCATAGTCTGGTACTAATACTTGACCCTGATTGAAAAAGAAAACATCCTGATCTACCCATGACTGCTGATAGAACAGTTTAACGCTCAGAACCACGGTCAGCAGCATCGTATCACACAAATAACACAGAAATATGACGGCTCATCAAGAGAATGCCAGGAGTGTGCAAAGAAGTAATCAAAGCAAAAGGTGGCTACTTTGAAGAACCTGAAATATAAAACGTATTTTCAGTTGTTTCACACTTTTCTGTTAAGTGTATAATTCCATATATAATTCATATATTAATATATATTCGTATAATTCATAGTTTCGATGCCTTCAGTGAGAATCTACAATTTTCATAGTCTTGAAAATAAAGAAAGCTCTTTGAATTAGAAGGTGTTTCCAAACCTTTGATGCATTGATAGATTTAACATATAAAAAGATATATTACATTTAAAAATAATTTTAAAAAAACACTGAATATGACATTGACATTTTCTGGGTCTAAATGTTTACATCTAGCAGCCCATAAACAGTAGAAAAACTCACAACACTGACTTCTCTCTATTTTCTCTTCATGTAGACGAATCAGACTGAGGGATGGGAGCTTTTCCTCCCCCTTTGACTCCCGACCGAGGCCCCTATCATGAATCTGTCAACCTCAAAGAAGAGAACTCCTCCATGCTACAGTAAACCAAGTAGAGGCAAGATAGTGTATTTCTGCCATCACCCCTGAAATTCATTAATGATTCATATTCAAGCACTCTGGAACCTGAAATAAACACATAACCTCACCAGGTATAAACAAAAACATGTTCAGCCTTAGAACGCCGCACGGCTCCTCGAGAAAAAAAAAAGAGAAAAAGTGGAAAAACATTTAAGACTCTACAAATAGAAGCCATCAAAACAGAAGGTCAACATGTTGGTGACACACTTCTCAGGGATATGGCCATAAATGTGAGATTTACATTAAAAGTTAAAGGAGTTTCACTTTAACCGATTGAATCAGTTTAGAGATTCTCTCAAACGTAGGAAATATGCAACAATATTCAATCAGAAACAAAAAATTGACAAATGGATTATCAGCATCAATATCTGCAATTCAGAATCCAAATGTGCCAAAAGTACAGTTGATCTGATCCAACCAGGTGACAAAGACAACTTACTCAAGTCCTAAGATATTTTCTATATTTATATTTAACTTATAATATGTTTTTTTGTCTTTTTTACTTTGTTTTTAGCACTTTGGAAGAGACTACCCGTGTAATTTTACATTAAATTAAGTTTACATTGAATTATATATATATATATATATATATATATATATATATATATATATATATATATATATATATATATATATATATATATATATATATATATATTAAGATTGAAGTAATGATATATATATTTTTAGGGGGTCAAAAATCTTATTTTTGGGGTTATGACCTAAAATATTTGGGAACCCCTAGCTAAGAGCCTCACATTTATTTTTCGACTGCTTTCAAACTGACAGCATCACTAACCTGTCTGCATGTCTTCAAAATTGGGGCAAAAGTCTTTGTAGATTATGTAGATTTAGATTGTTTTTGCACTGATTAGGGCATTTAATTGGAAGCGAAGAGAAGGTGATCTGTAAAACGCCATTTGAGAAAAACGTGGTTCGGAAAACTCTTGGTAAATTACATTTTGAAAAAAGATTGAAGATATAAAATCTTTAAAAAAAACATTAAACTGCTGCACAAGATCAAGTCAGAGAAAACAGTAAGTTTACTCTTGAAACCTTTCTTTGATTGCAAAGTTTTTAAAATTTCATTGCAGGATAAATACATTTTTTTATTTCGAAATGTGTTTTGTTAGCAACAAATAAAAAATCACTACACAAGTGTTTCTATTTATATATTGATATATATATATATATATATGCTTTGCCCTGTGTTTTTCTTTTTTTTTATTTCTGCGCTTTTTTGTGCTTTGTTTTACCCCACTGAACCTCCAAAATGTTATTGCAGTGTCTTCAAACAGAGATTAAACTTTAATCATATCATTTTTTGATAAACCTCTTGCTGATTCTTGCTTTAATTTGACAAAAATCCCAATCTCGTTCTGTTATAGTCTAGCACTGATTTGTTTTTGTTTTTCTAGTATATCAATGTGTGAGAAACGTAGGCAGGAGCAAAACAAGTATCTTAAAGGTGATGGTGACTTGATACAAAAGAACAAAAATATGCCATTAAAAGTAAAGATGCAGCAGACAAAACATGATAAATGTGTCACTGCAGCCAGGATTCAGTGCAGGATGCGATGCTGCAGAAAGCATCAAAGTGTCTGTGAGAAATCAAGTTAAAAGAGATCACTGGTCAGGAGGGAGCAGGAAACCATTTAGTCCTGTGTTCACTTACTAAGTTAACTCCACAGCAACTGGGTCATGCTGCTAATTCAATCTACAGCTGCAGATTCATTGACAGCTCAGAAACACACTTTAATTCAGACTTTATTAATAGCAGGTTGGATTAATCCCTGGTTAAGAACTTAAAAACCAAGGCAGTGAGTAAATGATAAATTCACATGTTTCCTCTTTAATTGAAATGCCGTCACTTTGAAGGATTCCCCTCTCCTGTCTGTCTAGGTGAGATCATGATGCTCAGGAAATGCAGGTGTGTTGGACTACTTACAGCCGCTCAGTCCCTCTGGGGATGTTTTTGGGGACAGAGTGGATCCCCCGGCCGTGGCAGTCCACCGTGTTCCCCAGGCAGCTGCAGGCAGAGGGACACGCTCCAGCAGCTCCCTGACCCACCAGGAGCACCAGGACAACCCACGCCAGACCCCGGCTCAGCCTCCCACCGCCTGCTGACCCGACTCCATCCTCTCTGGCTCCTTCTGGCATCCTGCCGTCCTCCACGACTCTCCAGGTTTATCAGCTGAAAGATGAGAACTACCTCCTCCTGTCACCAAACCAACACTTCAGCTCTCTTTGGAAAGTGGACAGAAAGAGCAGGAAAATGTTTTCAGCACAGTTCAATTGCCACTTGATCCCAGAGAGGAATCTCAGACAGATAAAGAGAGGGGAAAAGGACAAGTGGATTCTCTTCTTCTACTTGTCCCCAGATTTCCAGCTCCTCCAATTGGTGTCTTTTCTTCTCCTCCCCTGTGTCTCCTCTCTGCTTTCTCTCTCTCTCTCTTGCAGCTGTACAGTGCACTTCCCTCTCCCCTCCACTTTTCATTGAGTCATTGTGCAGTGAACAGTGAGCCACTAGAAAAAGAAAAAGAGGTGGGGGGGGGGACTCCTGAGATAGAGTGAGAGACTCCCTCTCTTACTCACACACCCAGAGTAATCATCCATCAAAAGCCTTTACAAATAACAGCAGAGAGACTCCTCCCACAATCCCCCCCCCCCCACACACACACACACACACACATACACACCCCAACACCCAGAATGAACTCAAATCTATTCACTAACAGCAGTAGTAGGAGCCCTCCACATCCAGAAACAGCAGCAGTCCACTAACCCCCCTCCCTGCTCTGTTTCTACCCTCGCTCAGTCTCGCCCACATGCACTCTCCTCCCTGGAGGAAGAAAAGAGCCCAGGGCTCCATGGACGTGATGAGATGAGAGGCAGGCAGCCGAGAGCAAGTCGTGATCTCTCTGAAGTATCTGACTGGGAAGCTCTGAAGAAAAAGCAGAGAAAAGGCAGCCAGTGTTAGGGAGAGATGAATCAAATCTGCTGTGATAGATTCCTTTATTTAATGGGTAAAAAGAAAGAAATATGTGAGATTAAAATGAGTGACCTGGCCAAGACAGTATGGAGTGAATTTTGTTCCATTATTGTTGAAAGAACGTTTTTCAAATTTGAAAAAAAAAATGTTGAAAGGTAGGTTAATAAATATATATATCTTTCTTCCATTTTTGGATTTCTTTTCAAATTTTTTTTTTTCAGATTGAGTTTCAGAAATTGCATTCTTTTCGAAAAAACGTTTCAAAATTTCACAGATATCCAGATTTTCAAACTTATCTTTTCAAAACAATTTTCTTTCATATATTTTACAGTTTAAAATGTTCTTTACAAATTTTTCTTTTTCAGCTTGTTCTTTGCATTCTTTTTTAAATTGTGTTTTAAATTTTACAGGCACACTGGCCCCTAATGGCCCCCATCTAGAACTGCACATGATCTGAATACATTGAAGCGACATTAACAGTTTAGAAAGTGCAGTCGCAACATATAATTTTGGTTTTTATTGTTTCATTTATAAAACTTTTGAATTCCCTTCATTTAACTCCTTTACAGCATCATTCCAGGTCGATGGCGAGTAGAAATTAAAAGCCTCTTTTCCCAGTTCAGTTCTGACTCCATGGATCTGCATCAGGATGATGTTCTGAGCGTGCGGGACGAATTGGTTAAAGTTTCCACAAATATGCAGACATAAATACGTAGGTGTGATGAGACATAGCTTTTATTTTGAAGGACTCAGGTCAATACTGTTACACACTGTACGCTAGTTAGTTAGTTACTTTAGTTTAGTTTAGTTTAGTTTTATTAGGATCCCCATTAGCTGCCCAATAAATGGCCACTAATCTTCCTGGGGTCCTTACATAAAGAAATTACATTACATTATGAACAAACCATTAAAAAAAATGCACAAGTTGCATATTAGGAAATAATAGGAACATGAAAAAGAGTAGAAATATACAACATAAATACCAGAGATGGGAAGTAACGAAGTACAAATACTTTGTTACTGTACTCAAGTAGATTTTTCTGATACTTTACTTTACTTTACTGCTTATTTTTATGGCGACTTTTTACTTCTACTCCTTACATTTTTACACAAATATCTGTACTTTCCACTCCTTACATTTTAAAAAATTGGCTCGTTACTTTAGTTTTGAATCATTTCAATGGAGTTACCGTTATTATTTTTCACGTCATCAATACCAAATTCAATCTAATTGGATGGGAATCTACGTTGCATTTGACGCACCACTACAAGATGGATCGACAGATTCGGCGGTATTCATTGGCGGCAAATCATTGCAGCTTGGTGGCGGTGGCGTTAGCATACTAGCATGGACGACGAGATGATTGAAAATGAACACAACGGAGATCTAGTCCTATTGGCAGACATCCATTTAAAATGTAGGCAACGGCATGAAAAAAGTGGTTTCTACTTTTACTTTTATACTTTAAGTAAATTTACAAGCCTGTACTTTGTTACTTTTACTTGAGTAAAGAAGTTTAATCAGTACTTCCACTTTTACCAGAGTATTTTTTAACACAAGTATCTGTACTTTTACTCAAGTACAGAAAGTGAGTACTTTTGCCATCTCTGATAAATACACAAGTCAGTTCATCATATCATCTGTAGTAGCTCTGCAGACAGTATCTTTTTGAAGCTTGTTCTGTTCTGGACTCTTCGCGTGGTTATTGGCAGTTAGTTCCAGTGACAAATGGCTCTATAATACACTCTGGATTTAAGATAGTTTGTTCTGGGTCGAGGGAGTTTAATGTCTCCACCTAGTGCCCGCCTTGTTAAATAATCTTGACTTTTTCCAAGAAGGACTAAATGTTCAGCAAAAAATGAAGGCTGTTTTTTAAGGAAAACATTCCATATAAATAGGAGAAGTCTTAATTTAAGTTTATAGGTAACTGTTAACCATGAAAGCCGTCTATGCATTGAAGCGCACTTTCGTCTGGTTTGGTCTGCCGCGGTTTCCGTAGACTCGTGAACGCGCTTTTAGGAAATCCTATACACTACTGTTTATGCTCTAAAAACATTCTAAATGATTTTGTTTCGAGTAAATTCTGGATGCTACCCACTCAGGACACTTGGAATACATTGGACGAGCAGTATGGCGGAATATTGACACGTTTTTTGTGGACTTTTATGGACCTTTCTGCCTCGGGCGCCATAGACCTCCATTATTTGAATGTCAGCAGACAGCAAGAAGCCTCCCAGATCTCCAGATGCATTTGAGATATCAAAAAAGTACTCCAGAGTGTTGTTCAGCATGGGGGTGAGTAGAAAATGAAGGCTAATCATGTTTTGGGTGTACTATTCCTTTAAGCTCCTTCAGTAAAGTACGTCAAACTACACTTCTTGTCCGTCCATTTGGTGAAATAGTGTCAGAAGTGGTGGCGTAAGCACCTGTGAAGAGAGAAAAGTGGCAGCAAGTTTGGAGAGACGTTAGAGAAGCGACGAAAGGAGAGACGGTGAAAACGAGGAAAAAGGCCGAAGTTCCACACACCCGAGGCTTTCGACTTCACGCAGCCTTCTATATGGCCCATATGAAAACGTTTCAACATATTCTCATTATCAGTTCGTATGAAATCGTACGAAAAGTTATGCACACTATTTCGTACGTTTTGGACGATTTTTCCTCAAAAAAACCACATCAGTGCGCATGCGCTGGCAGACAGAAAAAAAAACAGATTCACGGACGGACGTAAAACTGGGAAAAAACAGTGCAATCATCACTTATTCATGTCTCTAACTACGTTGCTTGCTGTTTTATATCTTAGGGTTAGGGCTAATTGTAATTTATATTAAATGGGCATCAGATGCGCATGCGCATACGACGAAAAAAAAGTCCAAAACGTACGAAATTACGGTGCATAACTTTTCGTACGATTTCATACGAACTCATAATAGGAATACACTGAACGTTTTGCACGCTTTCGGATTGCATCAAAGCTGGATAATGAGGACCAGCATGTGCAAGTAAATTCACTTCTGTATGCAATGGGCAGAGACGCCGAGCCTGTGTTTAGCCCTTTCACTGATCAGCAGAAAGCGAAATACTTCGATACTGTAATAGCAAAGTTTGATGGACATTTTGTGCCCAAACGTAACGTAACACGAACGTGCCTGTTTTCATTGATGTTCCCAGCAGAGTGGGGAAAGTGTTGATGCTTTTGTACGTTACTTGTACGAGCTTGCAGAACACTGCATGAATTTGGGGCTAGTAAGAATGAACAGATACGTGACAGACTAGTCATTGGTCTGAAAAAGCCTACGTGAAAGCCTACGTGCAGGCGGTGATGGCTACCAGACCAGTGTCGGACAACAGACTGGAGAAGATCCATGCGGTGACCCTCAAGGATGAGGATCTCCAGCGAGTCACGCACTACGTCCGTCTCAGCTGGCCGACTTCCATGTTACAGTTGCCACACAGAGTCCAGGGGCTACCACAAAGCAGGGGCTCACCTTTCTGAAGCCGACGGCTTGTTGCTGCACAATGAATCGTCATCCCAGGGTCACTTTGAATCAACTTGACTGTATGATCAGGTAAAATGTTAGGTGCCTTGAGATGTTGTAAATTGGTGCCATAGAAATAAACTTAATTGAATTGAACTTAATTTACAGTAGGTAATATATCATTCAAGGGCTCATATAATTGGTCAATTTCCAAAATAAGACGTACAGCCATGTAGCAGTATCTTTGCTGAATGGCTGGATATAGACCTTGTGCTGCTAGATTTCACTGAGGGATGGGGGAGGACTCCATTTGTAAAGGCAATGCAAGTGATCAAAAACTCAAACTTTCCCTTTAAAGGCTTAAAGGTCAGAATCTGTATTATATATGAAACCTAAATAAAATAAAAAACTGATCCCGGTATCAATATCAACAATACTTGCAGTGTTTCTACTTAATATCGGATCAGTGTAGCATGCCTCTGATCATTAATATCTTTATTATTTTTACTTTTTTTTCAATTGTGGGGAAATAAATCATAATGTAAACTACTTCACTGTATAAAAATTAAAAATTGGTATGCTATTGAAAATAACCTGTACTGTTTACTCTCATGATAAACATGTACTCTTTCATCACTCTTTTCAATTCTTGTCTGACTAAAGGTGATATTTAAATGATTTCCCTGACAACCATGGTTAAGATAGCAACAATTGCATCTGAGCTAACATGCATAGCCTGCTGACAAGTTTGATGGAGCTTTAACTCTATATTCAAGATAGCTTATTAACTTTAATTTCCCCTGCAATGCAGACTATTCCACAAACACCAACCTTAAGGTCACTTCTTAACTCTGACAAAGTTTATATTCAGTCTTGATTTGGCGCATGTAAACATCAGCCTGAGTGTTCTCTGCAGTAATGACTGAACTAAATGTATGGCTAATGGTAGCTTTGTTTCCTAAATAATTATTATATTTAAACGTTAAAGTGCTTCAGCGTAATCATAGTTCTCTTCAAAATCCAGAGCCAAGGAAGAAATTGAGTTTAGGAAGGGATTTCTGATGAGACTAGCATATCTGAAATGCCATAAGCTGCCACAGAGCTTACTCAGTAGT